TCCAGCACCCCAACCCCCTGCCCCAGCCCTGAACCCCCTCCTGCACCTCCTCTCTCACCCTTGCCCCAGCCCAGAGCCCCCTCCCACACTCTGAACCCCTTGGCTGCAGCCCAGAGCCCCCTTCCTGCATCCGGAACCCCAAATTCATGGCCCCACCCTGGAGTCTTCACCCCTGGCCGGAGACCGCCTCCCGCATCCCAACCCCCAGCCCAAGGAAAGTGAGTGAGGGTGGGGTAGAGCAAGAGAAGGAGGGATGGAGTGAGCGGGGGCAGGGCCTCAAGGAAGGGGGCAGGGCAAGGGTGTGTGGTTTTGTGCGATTAGAACCTTGGCAACCCAATTGCTAAACCCAGTAGGGCCTGTTGCATTCACACATTTGGGAAATGGGGCACTGGCCAGCCAGAGATCCTATTCCAGAGCGGTTGAACCACATGATTCATGCCCAGAGAGGGGTGAATTTAATTCACCCCTGTCTCCAAAGTGGTGTTCTCAAGTGGCAATACAAGGGGTCTAAATTAGTTTGCCCTGTAACAGTGATATAAACTATGAAAATGTAATACTAAATTCTTCATTATAGAAGAAATAATAATAGCTAAGTGGGCGAGACCTTAAAAATGCAGTTCTGTTTCTTAGGTGTCAATATCAAAGATGCTACAGTTTTGTTAGGATAGGAATTTGCCCCAATTCCTTTAGTTAAAATGGCTATAATTTCCCCCTTTTCCCAATGATTGTGCAGTTTGCTACTCATTCCGCTGCTTGTGATTCTAAATGCCGGTGGTGGTGGTGGTGTTTGTTCTTATCCTAGTGATCAGTTTGTGCTCTTTTAAACTGGAGGAAAGGATAATGCAACTATGATGTTCAATAATATTGGTTCTCTTTGGTTTATATTCAGTAGCATGACACCATAATACTGTTAGGGTAGACCTTTGCTGGACAGTTCCCCACGCTGGACATAGCCGCAGCAGGAGTGGAAGTAAAAGCAACATGATGCTAAATGCATTTTGCCGGATATGATAGGATTTGCAAAGACTCTGGAAGTTGCTGTTAGTGGCTGTTGCTGACTTTGTCCATCTCTGGTCTCCACTGTGGTTTGTTTTGTGTTTTGGGACTGATTTGTGCTGCAATTTAAGGGCCACAGTTTCAAAGCCTGTGTGTGCTCAAATCTCCGTAGTACACCTTACTTTAGGATGCAAACACCATGTTGTCGAGGGTGGGCTTTTCAATGGATGAGGCGCGGTGCGATGAGTTGTCAGGTTTCCATCTACTTCCTTGTAGTACAGGGGTTCTCAGACTTTTGTACTGGTGACCCCTTTCACACAGCAAGCCTCTGAGTGCGACCCCCCTTATACATTAAAAACACTTTTAAATATATGTAATACCATTATAAATGCTGGAGGCAAAGTGGGGTTTGTGGTGGTGGGTGACAGCTTGTGACCCCCCATGTAATAACCTTGCGACCCCCTGAGGGGTCCCAACCCCCAGTTTGAGAACCCCTGTTGTAGTATCTACAGGAAAAATAGTGATGGGATGCCACTTAAAACTGCTTGGACTCTGAGGGAGGAGTGGGTGGCAGATAGAAAGCCCTTTACAAAATCCTAATGCTGTGTGTGCCACTGAAATGTGTGCATACCCACACCTTGGCCCCACATGCAGTTCTGATTTTTATACCTGCCCAGCAATTCACCCAAATAATTGGCAGAGGCACCATGTGGATGTGTGGTGGTTGCTGGGTATGCGTAGGCACAAGCATCCTTTCAAAACATGCTCTAATAGCCCATGGCAGCAGGTTGAGACTTCCTTGGGATAGAGAACGCATTCGGAAGTGTAAAAAATTACATTGCGTTGATAGGTGGTGAGGTTGTGAAGTGAGCTCTCTGCCCAGCAGATCCCTTCCAGCAACCCAGTTATTCAGGAGTTTAATTGCTTAGTGGTATTTATACAACAAATGAAGCATCCAATTAGCTCCAAAGTGTTCCAAAGGCAAGATATGCCAGTCCCCATGGTGTTTGTGTTCAAACACTCATTCCCTGTAAATGTCTGCTCTGCTTCATCTGGCAACATGTTCAGAGCAAGCTCCTGTTATAAGACTGGCACATTGGTACAATGTGCCCATTCTTTTCACATTTGATATATTTGATTGCATTGACACATGATAACTTTTCTTTATATATGGAGCTGTGCTCTTTTCGGCTCAAGTCGCAGCATTCATGGCACTGTGCCACAGCAAATTAATTTTGCAAATAGGTGTGTAATGGCTCCATGATCTGTTGCCAGATTCCAAATCATTCGAGGGTGATTACGTCTAGGCCAGAAAGTTTATCAAGGTTAAGATTAATAAATTGGAAAGAAGCACGGTTCGAGCACAGGGACGGGATTCAAGAGTTCTGCCACTGACTCACTGTCAGGCTACATCTCCGTGATGAGCTTAGGGGGTGAGTCCCTGCTCGTGTAGACACACTCTTATAGAGCTGGCATGCTAAAAATAGCTGCAGTAGCAGAGGCAGCAGAAGGATGGGTTAGCTGCCCCAAGTACGTACCTACGGGGCTCAGGCAGGGGGTTGTACATCCTGCCATTGCCCATGTTACTGCAGCTACGCTACTATTTTTAGCCTGCGAGCTCCATGAGAGTCAATGGTAAAGGGCTCATGGAATTCAATGTGCGCAGCAGCTGTCCCTTAACTTCTGTGTGCCCCCATGGTAAGATGAGAATGGGAACACTTCCCTGCCTCGCAAGGACATTGCGAAGCTCATTAATGAATATTTGTTTAAACAGTTTGATATCTCTGAATGAAAGGCGCTATAGAAGAATAAAGAGTCGTTATAATTAATTACATACAGAAATTCTATTTGAATATGCAAAGCACTCATATGTTAGGTAACACCAACATTTACATTTCCCATGCAACCTTAACTCTGCCCTCTTATGCACATGCATTATGATACAGTATACATCTGAAACACTGGAGAGAAAACAACTCTCAGATGAGGGGGGAAAAATACGATTGCAGTAGACAAAGCCAAAAAGGTATCAGGATAGCAAAACTGTTTGATTACAATGAGCAAGGCAGCTGATTTTTCTCTAACTAAACGTGTGACAGAAAGAAACAGAGATCTGGGTGCCTCACTCAGAATGGGAAACAATTGACATGATGTTGGAAAAAGTACAGAAATATAAATAGACAAAAGAGAAAATTGGCAACCCAATATTAGCACAACAAGGAGTATGAAAATTCAATCACTTGTTCCTAGATTAAAAGGACGAAGGGCCAGGAGCTCTGTGGCGATAACAAAAAGGAGAGGGAATTTTTTGTATCGCTCTCCAGCAGTCCTTCTGGTCACTGCAGGAATTTTGATGACAGGCTCTGCAGTGGTCTATATCCATGGGGGGGAGAGGCCTTCAGAAAATGTAGGGGGCTGACAGAAGGGGAAGAGACATCCGAAGTGTCTTGTTGATATTAGTCTCAGCATGGATCTTGCTAGGACACTGATTAGAAAATGCCACCTGAAGCAATGAAGCTAGGTCCTGTCTGGATGCCTTACATCTAGTAGAATCATGGTATTTTTTAGAGTATCAGAGGGGTAGTCGTGTTAGTCTGAATCTGTAAAAAGCAACAGAGGGTCCTGTGGCACCTTTAAGACTAACAGAAGTATTGGGAGCATAAGCTTTCGTGGGTAAGAACCTCACTTCTTCAGATGCAAGGTATTTTTAGAGGCTCTGAGCACAGATGTGCCAAAAAATATTCTGAGTGGATGTGTCTGCTGTCAAAGAAATACATCCCACCTTGTAATAATCCAGTTTTGGTTTGAGTGGGACAGAGGGAAATGCTCCTGATTCCCTCCTGTCTTATTCTCCCATCAAAGTGACCAACCAAACAATGCAATCCAGCAACAAAGAGAATGGAAAATCTGTCCCTGAAAGAGCCTCTTCTCTATGGAAGAAGATTTTCTTTGGGTTATTGTTGTCTTGATATGCCCCAGATCTACCTAAGCAATTCCTGCCTGTGCTAAGAACAGACCCCAAAAAGGACAATAATGGGCCTTAAATTAAAAAGTTTTTTAAAAGCTGATGTCAAGAATTAAACTGAGTAAGAGCCTCAGGCGTAAGCCTCTTAAATCAGAGTAAGATGCCCGCCAAGCTCTCACCGAGGGAAGTCGTTGGAGAACTGTCTTTCATGCTTTTACAATGCTGTCTCAGTAGGAATTTCTAGGTCATAAACATTGAGTCTTATTCTTTGCTCAAATACACCAATGTCACTCCAGAATAATTGCATTGAGGCCACCGTTTTTACAGGAAGCAAAATCTGGCCCTGGACTGGATAGTATCTCAGGAGTTAGCACAAGCACTTTCTGCTTCAGTCCCATGCAGGGTGATAGATACAATCAATGCCATGAACCCCAGCTGCATTTAGGTCTTTAAGGTTGTCACCCTCTATTATTTTCCTGGTGGCCAATTTATCAGCTTGTGATGGATGTAAAGTTCTCTCTTTTTGTAGCACGTTGCCAGTGAGATAAAATACTTAGTGTCACTGTGTGTTTCATGCCTCATTTGTCAAAAAGCCTTACAGTTTTTAGTCAGGGCAATGCCACCTTTCACCTGGTACAGGGCTCTAGAGTGGCACTTAAGCTTTGAAAACTCAGACTTGCTAGAATTTATTTTTCCTTATCATTGGCTGTCTGTATTTATTTTATAAGTGTTGTTAAGGAATATATAGTAGGAATATAATTTAATATGGGTGGAGATTATTAGGCGTAACGTAGCTGCTAACCAGAGCTTTGTAATCTGTACGGGAACATGTTTAAGAGCTTCCTTGAAGGTCGGATTTATTAAAAATGCTAGCTATTACAACAGGGAATGACTATAGGATCTCCTTAAAGCATAGCATCTGAACATCTGCACAGACAGGCTGTCTTTGATTGTGCCTTACTTTTCCCTTTAGAAGTTCAATCCTTTACACAGATCAAGGTAAAAATACATGGTCCAGTAATACAGTCTTATCTTTTAGGTGACACTTGCACAATGGCAGACTACAGCCGTCTTAAAAGCATACTCCTGGACCTTCAAGCTCATCACCACAGCCAGCTGAGCAGCCCTGTAGAGGACAGAACATCCCAGAAGCGCTTGTTAGTTGAGGACATGTTTAAGTACTTGGATATAAACAGTGACGGACACCTCAGCAGCTCTGAACTGGCTCAGGTGGGTTTATCGCTCAATGAAAATTGAATTATGAAATGGATTGCATTTTTCATTCTACGTGTAAATTGAATATAACACAGCCAAATTCTTGTGAGAATAGTTGCGTGTAACTGTCTGTCTAACATTAGGTGAAGGAAGGAAATTCTACTGTAGTATATAAAAGGTCTTTTCCCCGCCTCCCTTGGGAGACCGAGGCATTTTGTCAAGCAGTTTAGGATCCTTTACAAAGAGAAATATGGCAGTTTATCCAGGCCTCTCACCATCCCTTCCAAAAATAAATCCCTCACTATTTACATTCATTCTTTGAAATTCTTCCAGCTAGCTGACAAATATAGACTTAATTTGCATTTAAAAATGGATTTAAATTAGAAAATGAACCTTGTCCCTCCCCCCGCCTTCCAAACACTGTATTAGTGTTACAGTAAGTTTAAAATATTGGAACAGCTTTGTTCCCCCCACATCCCTTTGCAGTTACTGAAGTGTTGATTATAGAACATAATAAAATGAGAGAAGATGCAGAGTCTGGAAAAACAATAATCTTTAATTACCAACATGCTGTGCTGTTTGAATTAATCTAATTGGTAAAGTTAACCAAACATGGAGCACTGAGCGTTGAACTGATTTCCATGTGTACTCAAGGTACAATCAGTTTCCAGCAGGTGCCAGAATGGAGGTACTGAGAGAGTCCTGACTGTGGTACCCAATGTATCAGCAAGAAGGATTTATATACTCTGTTCCTTTCGCCAAAGCTTGCTGGGTACGAAGCAAGAAGAGGAAGGCAATCTCACTACACAACACACAACATTAGCTACAGCACATACTCTGTACTGGAACACCATCACAGGCTAAATGTGTGAAGCATCTCGGAACAGCCTGGGCCCCAGAGGTGTAGTATGTCGGCCCAAAGTGTATGGATGTGCCCTAGCGCTCACCTACCATATCTTAGCTATGGATAAATAGTCCCAGCCGTAGATTAAATGGTGAAGATGGCTATCCTTTGACACAGAGAAATATAACTTCTCAACGTGAAAAATTAGCTCCTAGCTATGGGTCAAATAGCTGCATCCAAGCCAGGGACCCTGCTTGCTGCAGATTTCTGTACCAGTTAGTCATTTGGCTGGCTGGGATGAGAGAGTGGGATTGGCCAATGCATAAACCCCTCCCACTTAACCCCACTGCAGGCAGGCAGTTTGTCTCCAAGTCTCAAGTCCTGCTGCGATGCAGGAGTGGCAGACAGAGGATGCTAGTGGGAGTCCCCAGTCAGAAATCTGCACTCATGGGGGTGTGGATGTGATTATTGGTCACTTGTCATAGACACTGGAGCAGTTGCGTTTGTATCCTTAGAGCAGCCCATTTCAGGGACATTGCTGCTCCCCCCAGGAAAAGGAAAGGAAAGTTGTTTGTGTGTTCATAGACTCTTAGCAGGGCATTGCCCTGTTGAAAAAACTAGGGTTGGGATTTTAGGAGATCCAGTGTTAGAAAAGTGTTCCGGGAGAAAATAGTTGCATTCTGAATGAAAGGTGAGCATCTTCAGAAGAATTGTTAAAGAAGAAGAATTCTCTGATGTAAAGTTGGATTTGAGTGCATCATAGTGTTAAATGATAGCCATAGGCAGTGGGCAGAAGTGAGTTCGAAAAAGCCCTTAGGAGAGCGAGCTTCAGAAAACAATAGCAGTTCCACAGGTCTCTTAACACATTTGTCTCAGCTCACCTAATTAAAACCACAGGAGAATTTTAAAATTAGGGAAACAAACTCAGAATGTTTGTAATTAATTATCTGTATATATATATTTACTATTCTATTATGCTTTACATGAGAATAATTAGAAGCAAATGGCTCTTAGGAAGCCACTTCAGTTGCAAAAGTTAGCATTTTATCATTTTGCTCTAGATAAGCATCTCTGGTTCTCACTCTTCTGGGTCCGGAGGCACGGGGGCTGCCCGAAGTCCGTAGCGCTCGGCTCTTAAACAGAGCTGAAGAGTCAGGGGAGGAGCAGAGCCTCTGGCCGCGGCGGCTCTGCTCCTCCCCTGACTCTTCGGCTCTGTTTAAGAGCCGAAGAGTCAGGGCAGGAGCAGAGCAGCCGCGGGAGGGGAAGTGCCCGACCGGCATTTTCCCGGACATGTTCGGCTTTTTGGTAATTC